CGCCATCATCTGACTCTAATGTTCCACATAATTGATGAATAGCCTGGTGGATTCATTCGCATCATTTCCCTACATACAACCCTTTGTGATAATATTTTTCGCAGCGCATATTAGTTACTTCTCTAGGTTCTTGGGTGGGTTGCATAAATTTAATCTCCTTCTATTTCTCTTTGTTGTATGAACCGAATAAGCAATCACAGCAAAGAACATATCCAATTGCAGCAATGCATGCCATGTTGAAATTTGACCCATACCTTCATGCCATATGATCTATGTGAGGATATGAAAATAAGCACAATTAGTTAGAAAATTACAGAATCGCTTATTATACACAAATTAATGATAAATTTAGAAGCGACAATCTATTCCCCTTTTGAGGACTGTGGAAGTTTTCCATGACCCGATATGTCAAGTAGGTAATCGTATGGGTTTCCCTAACAAATCTGTCATTTATAGGTTTGTCACTTTGTTGGGAAACTGTTGTTAGGAAAACTCATTAAGTGATTGATTATAGTAAATAGTCTTGAGGGATGGACTTTTCCTAAAAATTAATATTTAATGAGTTTCCTGACGAATTGTCTCAAAAGATAAGTTTACTGCAAGTGAAGTTCTTTCTGAAGATAATAAAAAGAATCAGCTAGAAAACATGAAACGAGTCAATCAAAACTCCTCATATTATTTGAAAACATGTAGGCAATTTAATAATCTCATAAAAAGATCAATTACTGTTCAACAAATCCTCAATCCAAGAAAGTAAGCAGTGGACCGAGGCCTCAGTACGTGTAATTACAGCTCGAGGTGAATTATTCATGAGTCAGCTAATCTCTCATGCAAGAATCAAATTTTTTCTGGTAGAAATTCTCAAAATCCAAGAAAAATCTTACAAAATCTTGGCAAAAATCCATATAATCAGTGAAAAAATTTGATAAATTACAGTGAGTAACAACTCATTCCTCATTGATTTTACAATCTAACAAAATCTTGAAAATCTACATTAATAAGTGAAAAATCAGATCATTACAAATCCACATAATAAGTGAAAATGTTCAGATGCAAAATTGTGTGTAATTGAAGAAGAAATCATCATAAGATCAAACCTGAAGGATCAAACGTCCGACAGGATGCTGAATAGAAGGGGGAACTGGCAAAGGGATGGCGTCGGAATGATGGGGGATCCCCATGAAAAAAAAAAAAAGAGAGTGAGACCGCCGGAGAGAGAGCTACGTGGGAAGAAGAGAGCGCGGGAGGGAGAGAGAGCTTGGAGAAGGCGGGCTACAGCAATTGAGTCACAACATCATCCTTTTCATTTGTTAAGATGGGGTAAGAATGTCATTAACACACAGCAGTGATTCCCTTTACCCTCCTCTACCGCCCGAATCGGGGGAGGGGGGGGTGTGGAAGAAAAACAAGTGATTTTACCCTCTGTTCCCACTTCCTTCCTCCTCTGCTAACACTCCATTACAAAAACTCGCCAAACAGGGTGAAAGCTGCATTTCTCTTGACCGCCCCTCCCCTCTCCTAACCCTCCATCCAAACAGGGTATTATATTTTTTTGGGTTCATTTGAAAGGTGAGCCGAGGGGGTATGCTAAGGGCTGTTTGGAAACTCCTTGCGGCTATGCTTTGATGGCGAGTGAAAGTGGGACACACAGAAAGGAAGGCACAAATAAGATTAGCAATAATTTTTTTACAAAGAAATTTTTTTAAAAACTACAAAATTTTCAAATTAATAAAGTAAAATCGACATTATAAAAAAAATCAAGGCAAAAATCGACATTTTCAGTGAAAAGGGTTGATTTTGCAGGTTTTGAAGCTACAAAAGGGATATTAAGTCGCGTAGCGGTTCTCCTCAAAACGCCAATCTGCAAAGGCGGCCTCTCGGCCTCACATCGGTCGTCCTCCCCTGTGGACCAATCGATTCCAGCCAAGCGCTGGAGTCCAAACCCGACCAAGAGTCGAGCCGTTTCTCGGCGTCAAACATCAGCACAAAACGTCTCCGACCCGCCCCCCCGCACCGACCATGGCCCGCTACTCCGCACTCCCAGCGGATAACGCTACGTTGCCAGCATCTACGACGGTCACCCTCCCATCCTCTCGACACTCTTCAACCTCAACCAGGCGCCTCCGCCTCCTCCTCGCATCCTAACTCGACCAGTTCCTCACGCCTCGGCCATAGCTTCCCATCTGCGCTCGCCTCTCCTCCATGGCTCTTCACGCACGTACGCCCCCTTAGCGCTCCACATCGTCTAACCGTCGTCGCCTCGCAGACAACGTCCTCACCTCCCTCACCGCCTCCTCAGCCCCCCTCCTCGCCTCCCTCTACTCCCTCCTTTTCACCTTCAGCCCGCCCAATCCCCGTCTCTACCCCGCTGAGTTCGATCTCACATCATCAACAACCGACTTCCCCCCTCGCAGGCCTTCTTCAACCAGGCCCATCGGCCGACTTCTGCCTTTGTCTCGCCCCCTATGCGTCAACAAAGGAGATGATGAACATACAATGATTGGGTTGGGGGAGGAGTAAGAAACTTGTAAATTGGTGTTAATTTGGGGAGGACTACACTGCAGACTAGTAAAGTCCCATGAAGTTCGAACTGTAAAAGCGATCATTTTCAATTGAAAAACGGTCGTTTTGCTGAATTTTTATTAAATGGTCGAAATTTACTTAATTCAACGGCTGCTCCCAAAGTCTAGAAGTGCGCTTATTAAATGTGAGTGTTACTATGACGCATGGAATGTGGGACAACCAATGGTCCTTATAATTTAACGGGGCATGGGTTTTTGAAAAAATTCAGTGAGGTTGCAGGGTAAGAAGACTTTCTGGCGGACAATTGGTGGTTCTTTTACTTAGTGCAGTAAGTCCTTTAAGAACTTGCATAAAGTGGGGGCTTTGTTCGATTGCATCTAGGAGAGGGATGTCATGATCTTGACCATAGTTATAAACGGTTTCTCTCTAAGATTTTCTCACCTGCAGGGGAGTTTTTTCCCTAGTTTGAGTCTATCCTGGAAAGAGGGGGCAACCGGGCCCTATACGCATATCTAGCATCAGGCTGCAATCTCATGTTCAGCATTTTTGGTCATCCAAGAAGGAATTGCTTGCATCGAAGGAATGTGTTGGATGGGAGAAGGGGTTTGTCCGGTGGCATTCTAACTGGTTGTACTATTTGTTTTCACTGATCGCAGGTGTATGAACTAGCGTTCACATGAGCTGGATGGTTAACTAGATCCATTGTCTTTAAAGGTCTGACAACAGGTTAACTTGGGAATTTTCACTTTTTCTCCAGAGATGGCGGGCTTAAACGAACTCAAAGAGTTACTATTGAGGAACAAGTTGCAAAATTTTTGTATATGCTGGGACACAACGTAACTACTCGTGAGGTTAGTAAGATATTTGGACGATCTGGAGAGAGTGTGAGTCGTTATTTTCATAATGTTTTAAGAGCTATGATAGAGTTGAAAGAGATATTTTTAGTGCAACCCAGTGGAGCACAAATTCCTCCAGAGATACTCAACAATCCAAAGTTTGATCCATATTTCAAGGTGATGATAAAATTCACAAATTCTTATCTTTGCATAGGTTGTTAAAATTAGATTTGAACTAATTACTCCCTATATTATCAGGATTGTGTTGGAGCAATAGATGGAACACATATCTGAGTAAAGGTTTCTCCTACTGACGCTCCTAAATATCATGGTAGGAAAGATCATCCAACATAAAATGTGTTGGCTGCCTGCACATTTGACTTGAAATTCACTTATGTCTTACCTGGGTGGGAAGGTACTGCATCTGATTCTTGAATTTTAAAAAATGCTTTACAACGACGATTTCCACTTAAAATCCCTCAAGGTAATCATTAATCCTGAATTCTCTACTAATGACAATGAAACACTTTTTTATAAGTTATTAATCACAATGAATTTTTTTTAGGAAAATATTATCTCGCTAATGGTGGATACATGTTAAGAAGTGGAATAATTCCACCCTATAGAGGGGAACGCTACCATTTGAATGAGTATTCAAGAAATCCACCAAGGACTCAACGTGAGTTGTTTAACCTAAGACACGCGTCACTTCGTAATGCAATTGAAAGAGCATTTGGTGTATTAAAAAAAGATTTCCCATTATAGCGAGCTCGATTGAACCGAATTATGGTGTTAAAGTACAAAATCAAATCATCCTAGCTTGTTGTATTTTGCATAATTTTTTAAGGGGTACTGACCCAGAAGATTATTTCCCTAAAGGGGAAGAAGGTGATAATGAAAACACATCGGTCGACGATAATGTGGACGAGGATGAAGATGAACAAAGAGGGGAGTGTTTAAGAGATTCTATTGCAGCTTCTATGTGACAAGATTATAATGCATGATTAATGTAATATATATCTTGCTTGGAAATTTGTCTTGAACTTGATATTTGTTGGTTTAATGTTTAATATTTGTGTTGTTTATGATGATTGTAAGACTAATGTTTTCTATTTCTATTGTACTTGATGATTAGACTTATTTATGATGATTGTAAGACTTATTTATTTTTCGTAAAAATAGTATAATCACCATTCAGATTCCTTGATAGAGTTGTAAATAATTTGCTTGTATATTTACTAAGATTATTTTATTATTGTGTAAAACTCGGAATGTCAAAAAGAAGGTATACGGATGGTGATTCTTCTAGGGGAAGAAATCACATCTCTTTGATGTGGAATTCTGCTATGGATGAGAAGTTAATTGAAGCTCTTTTGCATCAAGATGTAATTGGAAATCGAGTACAGTCCGTCTTTTTACCAACTGCTTACAATCAAGTAGTGGTTGAACTCCAAGAAATGTTTCCCGACAAGCCATTTGATAGGGATAAGGTGAAAAATCGTATTAAGTATTTGAAGACAAAATGGGTAGCTTGCTATGACTTGTTTAAGAATTCGGGCAGCGGCTTTGCTTGGAATCGGAACACTAATATGTGGAGTGTGGAACCTGATGTGTGGGATCGACTAATTCAGGTAATAAAAATTGGTCATTCATTTTCCTATGGGTGCTTTGAATTTATTTGTTGTATCAATGATTTTGCTAGCTTAAATGAGTATAAGGAGAATTATTATGCCTGTCAAAGCAAAGAAGTTGGAGGAATTTTCTGTTGTCATGTTTGACCTTGGTGGAATTATTGTGCTTCGTAGTTAGCTAGTTAGAACCTTATGGGGTTTACATGTGTTCAGTAGGCATAACTGCTTTGTAAAAGAATCATATTTCCTTTCACTGTTTTGAAGATCTTTTCATATCCTATCTGCTATATGCTATTGATATCTCCAACTAACTTTGTACCCTTATCTATTTCATGATTGTCACACCCAGCTTCCAAAATACACGGGAACCGGAACGTGAACAAGCCCGCAATGTATTAGATTGAGAAGAAATATACACTATCTTTTTTTTCCTTTTTTTCTTTTCTTCTCAATCCAATACGCTAAGCGTCTGGAAATAAATACAATGCGAAGTCACAGGTCCCCGATCATAATCAGCAAGAATATAATAGACAAACTCAGAATAAAAAATATCATATCACAATGGGATATCATCCAAGACATAAAAATAAGGGTCAAACATGCCCTTATACAAATCTGAACAAATGAATACTGAAGAGATATAAAATACACTGATCAATTAGAAATGGAAGGTAGTACAAAAGAAAACGGATGACCAATAACTAAGCTTCAGCTTCTTCTACTCCGTCTGCAGGGCACTCCTGCTGAGAATCCTCTGGCTCCTGATGAACTCCCAGCTAAACCTGTTCTTCTTCTAAGTCTGACGTACACAAGAGAAAACAGGTGTACGTCAGCGTGTATGGCACACGGCAAGATCCCAAAAGGAAGAATAGAATGGTTGTGCGACCAATGCAAAAATGGTAATAACAATGGAAACATGCAACTAAAATACTAATAATCTAAATATAATTTACTACTAGAATAGAATAATCAGAATAAATCCAAGGAAATCAACCAAGTAACAAGTCGATTATGCAGCTAGCGATCAGAATAATCATCTAAGTACAGGGTCTTACACTAGCTGGAATTAATACTTAAAAATCTACAACTCGAGACGTAGTACGTCGAGCGAAATAATCCAAACAAGGAAACCCTCATGTATATACCATAGTCTCAACTTGTAGATAATTAAATAGTAATCCCGATCTATGTATAAAAAGAAATATAATTGGTCCGTATCTCACATCAACTCATAATCATCCGAGTAATGATGTCATGTAACTAACCATTCTATAACAGGTCACTGGTCACATCTCACACAGAGTCAACGCTCCTATCATCGGATAAGTGACTGTTCACAAATCCTCTACACGCATCCAATCCCGTGAAACAGGCAGCTAGAGGACTACACACAATCCGATCTCGGCCCGGTCCGAACTCAGGCAAAGCTCAGGTGATGAAACAGGTCACGGATCCAGGTGAGGAAACAGGTCATTTGGTCCAACAAACCAACCCCAGGACGAAACAGGTCTCTGGTGCAAGTCTGGAAGATACATCAACAGCCTTATCTGATCACATGAACATTAACTTCCTCATCCAAACTCTTCTTGTTTTTCTAAATCAACACAACACATGTTTCTAGGTCACAAAAGACTACTACGGTCATGACTACTAACGGTTCTCAAACACAACCAGAACTAACGAATACGAATGATCATGTACGATAATATCAAGGCATATCACATAATTAAAAGAATGATTCATTACAATATATACATAATATGAAATAATGATAATGTAAGAAATCCTAAAATCAAATTCGACGATCGATAGGTCAATGCAGAAAATAAGGAAAAACGACTCACATCGATCGAAAAGGAGATATACACACTAAACGAGGAAGCGATCTAAGAAAATGAAATATAGAAAATAATCCCAAGTACAATGACGTCATAAAAGAGGAAACCTACAACATCAACAGAGAAGAAAACTCAGGTTTAGTTCAATTGAAGGTAGGTCGATGCAGGAAAGGAGAAAGCTACTTCGGGTCTAATTTTGAATAATGGAGCAATAGAATGAAAGAAAGAGACCAAACAAATCATCCTAGCTATAGAGGAGGTCAAATCGGGGTTGCTAATAAATCAGGACATTAAACTCCCCTCCCTATTTTAGTGAAAACGGCAAAATTGCCTACAAGGATATAGTCGGTTCATCTCCACAATTTGGAGGAAAATCAAGGCGTATAGCCGACACAGGAATGAAACAAATACATAGGCACGAAGGCCATCCACCACGATGATACACAACCCCAAATGAGTCAACGATTACAATACAAGGCCATCAATAATATACACGGCCGACGATTATTTATACAACGCCGCAAATAATAATATATTTACCGGCAGCGAATTTGCTAAGCAAACCTGCATGAGGTCCTAAGCTAGTGCATAAGCGAGTACGATAAAAATATGATATCAGTCAATTGCACGAATCAAATGAGTAATCATACGACAGAATATAATTACGAGTATCAATATGACATGAGCATGACTATACAAGCTAACGATGAATCAGAAATGCATATATAACATGAGTGAGTATAAATAAGAGTGTCAACATGTCGATGGCAAGGTACATGAAATGTTATTTCTACAACTATCAATTACACAGTCATAAACTATTAATTCAAAAATAATTATTTTCCAAAATAAACTCTTTTCCAAAAAAATTCTTTTAATTCATAATAATTATTCTAAAAATAATTCTTTTACAGAAATAATTTCTTTTCTTTACAGAAATAATTTCTTTTCTTTACAGAAAATTATTTAATATTAATTATTAACAAAACTACACAGATAATCACCAAATTCACACTACAACATAATATATAGTATTACATCCTAATTATACACATAATTAATTCACAGAAAATCTACAAATTGTAAAGACGAGTCAAAGTGAAACAGGATCTTGCAAGCAACTAATTAATTCACAGCGAGTCTAAGAATTGAATAACAAGTCAATAGAGTATCGGGATCTTGCCTACGAGTGTCGTTGGTATGTCTCGGGGCTCCGACGGGCTCGCTGGCGGCTAGAAAGTGGCGGTTCTCCAACTGGATATACGTTGGCATATGATCAAACAGGTGGCGTGCGACGACACTAAGGTGGGCGAATCTGATCGGATCTGAACGGGGAATGATGAGGTTGATGTCGTGGGGAGGCAACGGGCAACATCGGCGACGGGGATCTCGGCGTGGCTACGGGGTTGCCGAGGGGGCATCGACGGCGAGGGGCTGCTCGACGGCGAAGGGAGGGGCACGGTTGGCATATGATCAAACAGGTGGCGTGCGACGACACTAAGGTGGGCGAATCTGATCGGATCTGAACGGGGAATGATGAGGTTGATGTCGTGGGGAGGCAACGGGCAACATCGGCGACGGGGATCTCGGCGTGGCTACGGGGTTGCCGAGGGGGCATCGACGGCGAGGGACATGTGATGCGGCATAAACATGTACCAAAAAGGTTGCAAGTGCACAACCGTGTCAAGTTATAGTATTTAAGATATCGATCCCACGAGGAATGTGTTTTGTAGGAGAAAATATAAATTCGGTTCTTATGTTGTGTGCGTGACAAATAGGAGTGATAAGTGAATGTGATTGTGAAGAGATTGAGAGAGTGAAAATGGTGTGTAAATAGATGCAAAGTGTAAATGAGAGTGAGTATGAACAATAAGGTGAGAAGGAAAAATGAATAAAATCAAGAAAAAATAAAAAAAATCAAGAATGAAGAACAAAATTCTAAGAGAGTGAAAATGGTGTGTAAATAGATGCAAAGTGTAAGTGAGAGTGGATGTGACAAAGAATGAATATGATCAATAAGGCAAGAAGGAAAAGGAAAATAAAAATCAAGAATAAAGAAAATAAAATTCAAGAATAAAAGAAAATGCAAGAAATTAAAGATGGTGGATTCAATTATAGATATGGGTTATCTACAATTGAACCCACTTCTTAGAAAAGGGTGATTCCCTAGAGGGTTCTAGCCTAAAGGCGAATCAAACAAAATAAAAATAAACAAAAAGAAAAACTAAACCCAAGAGGGTTCTAGCCTCAAGGTGAATAGTATAAAAAATTAAAATCTAACTACAAAATAAATTACAAAATCTAAACTACAAAATAAAATTGCAAGAATTAAATGCAAGAAGAATTAAATGTAAGAAAATAAATCTATTCTATAAGCATGAAATAAATCTAAGGCAAGAGGGTTCTAGCCTCTTGGCTATTTAACAAGAAAATAAAATCTAACTACAAGCATAGAAATAAATCTAAAAAAAAGGAAATAAAAGAGAAA